GACAAGTGTCTGCGATGCTTGTTCGGGACAATGACGCGGAATTGATCGTGCGTAAAACAATGCATGTGGCAGTTGAATTTTCTCACGATCTTGTCGATGAACGTTCGCGATCGTTGTCGACTACGTCATCACTTCGGTATGCGCTCGGCGACCACGGGGCGAGGGTGAGACGGACGTGTAATTCGCGATCGTTGTCGACTACGTCATCACTTCGGTATGCGCTCAGCTATCACGGGGCGAGGCGAGGGTGAGACGGACGTGTGGCACGAGGGTGCTGCGCATTAATCTATGAAAATGAGATATTCATGAACGCAATTTGATAATCAATTACGTAAGGATGCTCAAATAGTAATGTTACTCTCAAAACCGAAGGGTCAATCGCTACTTAAAAAATGTACAGTGATTGTTAATTATGGCAATACAATATTTTATTGCTAGCATTGCTATATTGTAATGTTAGTATTATTTTCGTATTGCCAGCAATACTGCTTATTTCTAATATTTTTATTTTATTATCGGTATTGTCACAGTATTGCCAATATTGCCAGAATTAAATAAGTATTTCTCTCGAACAATACAAAGTGTAAAATTGTGACATAAGACGTGTTTAAATCATCTTTTAGATGCAAAAACCGTCTTATGACCCGATTTTAGAAACTTTTGTTGTCTGGATTACTTCTTTTTTCTTCTATTTCTTTATTATTAAAACTACAAAAACTACTACTTACTACTTTTATTATATTTTGAACAGCATTGATAATTGTATTGTAAATAATTATTATAATTGTAATGTCGAATTGTATAAAGGAATAATACAAAGAAAAAAGTTATTGTAATTTCATTAGCGAAATACAATAAAATAATTAGACATAAAAATAAAAAAATTAATTAAAGGTGTACCTGCAAAAACGGGCTGCTAAATTTATTAGCAGCTCGTTTGTTTTATGGCTGAGTATACTTACAAAGAAAAGAGGACCGCTGATAAAATTGGTGGGGGTGGTGGAGGGCCTCTATATCTCGTTTTTGCTAAATTATACCTTAAATTGACAATATATGTTTAGAAGAGATTGAATTTATTAAAAACCTCGATATAATTACTAGTAATTATAGAGTGCACTTTGTTGCATAGTAATTATGTCTGGTAAAAACGGGCTGAAAATTGGCATAAAAAAACATAACTTCGTAATTTTATAACATAAAATTCATTAAATTAACTTGTTTGAATTTTCAATTTCGTTTATTAAAATTCAACAACTTTTATTTACGTATGTACGAGATGCGAAATTGATAGTCGGCACGCTTTTGTCCTGAAGATTTAGTACAGAGATGAACCACATCTACTTTCGACGATACGATTTTATCGATAGTGTTGGAAAGTGTATATATTATAGTCACGTAGTTCTCAAATTGAAAATGCATTTACTGGCGGTAGTGTATGGGCGATTTCAACCAGGAAAAAACCTGGCATAGCCTCTCTCAACTTTCTCTCTGTAGCGGTTAATTAATGCAGTTATAAAAATGTCACATAAAAAGGTAACCGGCATATTGAATGTCTATTTTAGATGTGTGTATTGTGTATGTGTCAGTTCAGCTGTAGACAGCTGAACTGATACATACACAATAATGAAGGGAATTATATGATAGTTCTCCAAAGACATATGCTGGATTCACACTGCATCCGATTTGCGTCGTACGACGCTCTGCAACCAATCAGAAAACAGGATTCCGATGGATTTTGCTTCGTATCATCGGAA